ATAAGTTATGCATAACATTCTCATCTTATCTCATAAGAGATTCTCGTCTTTTTCTCATGCAATAAAGCATATAAGTTATGGCAAGCATAACAACATCATATATTGCATATGATATATTCTCATCTCATGCATCAAAGCATATAAATCACGTAAATTCACATAATACATGCAATTATAATTTAAACTAATTAATGGTGGCGAGTCTACCTCAAATATCTCAAGTTGATTGAAAAGTGGAGCGGGAGGAAACCTCAATCTCCTAATTGTTCGTACGTTTCGTCTAGCCAAAATAGAAATTATGTTTGAATTTGTATTTCAAAATTTTAAAATTTTAAAGCGATAAATTTAAGTTTAGGGACCTAATTGGATATTTATTAAAACTGAATTTGACAAATTTAATGGCTGAAAATACTATTTTCAAAGTATTGCGGCTAAATGTGAAGAATAGGAACTCTAGGGATTTAATTGGGAACTATTGAAACTGAAAATGAAAGTTTAATGGCCGAAATTGAACTTTTAGAAGTTAGGGACTAAATTGTAAATCTATTAAAACTGAAAAAAAAAGTTTAGGGGCAGAAATGATAACTTTTACAAGTTAGGGGCTAATCTGTAAATATATTAAAGTTGAAAATAAAACTAAAATGGCTGAAATAGATTTTTTTATAAATTAGGGACTTAATTTAACATTTACCAAAACTGAACATGAAATTAAGGGACTGAAATTAAAAACACTTAAAACATAGGGACTTAAATAAAATACTTTTAAACTCAGGGGGCTAAAGGGTAAATTCTAAAAATCAAAAATTAAAATATAAAAATAAAACACAATCTCTCTCTCTCTCTCTCTCACATTTCGAACACAGAGAGAGAGAGATAGAGAGAGTGAGAGAGAGGGAGCTTCGACGGGGAAGGGGCTCTGTCCCTTCCTCCATTTCAGCCGCCGGCGAAGTGGCGGTGCCAGCGAGGTTCTCTGCGAAAGAGGTGAGTTCGTGAGCTAGGTTATTTCCTTAGTTTTGCGATTGATGGATGCGGTTTTGAGCTGGGAATAGGGGCTGTCGAGGGGGTGGTCGATGTGGCCGTGTGCGGTTGCAGGCGGTGGCTGTGGTGTTGCCTTCGGGTTGGAGTAACGGGTGTTGATTGTGGCGGTTTGAGGTGGTGAGGTGGTTGTAGTGGTTCGAAATGGTGGTTTGAGGCTGTCGGTTTCGAGGTGGTATGGGAGTGGGTTTGGCTTGAGGTTGAGGTCTCGTTTTTTGGGGGCCAGTTTGGTGGTTGTGTGGTGGTGAAATGGTGGAACCCGTAGGTGGCTGGAACGTGGGTTTGGGCAGTGGCTATTAGGGTAGTGAGCTTGGTTTAAGCCTGACTGCAGTTTTCAGCTCGTGTGGTGAGCTGGGTTTGTGCTCAGGCTGCAGCTTGATCTCGGTTTGGTGATGGTGACTGGTGAAATGGGTGTAGTCTGCTGGTGAAGGTGGGGGTGGTGTGTGTGTCCTGTGGTGTTTTGCAGTAGCTTTAGGGTGGTGGTGTTGGTGGTTTCCTATTGATGCTAGAAATTGATGTTCTAGCATCAATGGTGAAATCACGATGGAAAGGATTGAGGGAGGGAGAGAGGAGTTAATTGTTTCAACAGTCACTGAACTTTACAAAGTGTCACGTTTCACTAACTGAACTTTAAGTTGCATCTCATCACTCACTGAACTTAGTAAAGTTGCACTCCATCCATCACCGGCCTAATTCCGTCAAAATCGGTTGCCTATGTGGATGACGATTTGTACACGTGGTCGTTAAATTAATCCAGTTGGCCGAGTTAATTGTTTCAACGGTCATTGAACTTTACACAAAGTGTCACGTTTCACTAACTGAACTTTAAGTTGCATCACATCACTCACTGAACTTAGTAAAGTTGCACTCCATCCATCACC